TCAAAACCTTTCTCGTGTTAAAAAAATAATGTGTTTGAAAATTATGCATGATTTCAAGTCCAGGTGAAAAAGTTATGACAATAATAAGTTTTTACACTATGATATGAGATCAGAACACCAGACACAACCCGTGTCAAACCCAGTAGGTCAAAATGGCCAAAATTCCACTTTTAGACATCTTACATTGGTCTCAATGCATCCAAACATCCTACAACTTACTCAAATGACTCATAGTTTCAAATAAATCTTACTTTGGATAACATTGTTGGTTGGGCTCAATGGCTCGTTGTGTGTGCTTGTTGACCTGGAATGATTAGGGTTTGGTGGTGTTATTTTTCAAACATTATTTTCAATTATGTTTCTTTAATTTTAGCTATGTTTCTTTAATTTCAATGTAATGAGTAGTTAGAAGCATTTAAGACGTGGTTGTTGGTTTTGTAACATATGATTTACAAACAAACAAAAATTAGTAACAGTGTGTTCATTTGAAGTATTTCCATAATTCACGGTTTATCATTTTTTGGATGTGATCCTTTAGTTGATCGAATTCAAAGTAATAGGTCTTAGTTTGTGTTCATATTTACAAGTTATAGGTCTAGTTTTTTTTAACAAATCTATCATTTCATTGTTTTATCTCAAACACTATCAAAAAGACCCGAAACATCTAGTTAATTAGTTTCTTTTGCTAAACAAATTTGAAGTTCTATCCAATCTCATACAAAATATCCCATACACATATCACCTAACCTACTACTTTTTAACATATTTTTTAGGTTCTAGTATTGAATGAGGTCTCATGACATTTTGAAGGTCATTGTGATGTAATGGTTACTTATCTTACGTATGATATTCAAATTATTTTGCTAAGACTTTTAAGATTTTAAGGTCGGATTTTTCAAGTGATGATTTTTCACTATAACAAGTAGTTTAAATTACTTTATAAATATAAAACAAAAAGAGGGGTGTTTCAAGATTACATTCTGATCATGGAAGTTGCAATTTGATCCAATTGTTGCTCTGGATTTTATATGTTATCCCTGGTCTCGTTTTCAAAAGTGTAGATACTTGTTGTTAAGCTTTTAACTATGACTTTTAGGGACAATCTGGAACTATATGTATGATGTTGAACATGTTGTTGTTGAAAGCCATATTGTTGTTAACAACATTGTTGAAATCCAAACTATTGTTGAAAAAGCATATTGATGTTAAAACTGGAGTTTTTGCTGATAATTGTTGTTTGGATTCCATCCACAATCTTGATTATTTTGGGGCTGATCAAATTTAATTTGTTGATGTCTCTGATACTATTCATAAATTTTCTCAAGTTTAGTACCTTATTACAGCATGGAACACATATGTGTAGTTAGCATGGGATGAAAAACATGTTGGAGAGGCATGAATATGCCAACTAATTTTGAAAGTGTTGATTTTTTGTTGGGATTTTTAAAGTATATGTATACTATTTACTAATATAAATACGATTCCATATCTTCATAATTATACATCTCTTTCAACCTTCTTCTATATATATTTTTAACTTAGTACTTTATTGGGAAAATGACATATATAGCCCATGAACTTTCTAGGTTTGACCTGTTTAGTCACTTAAGTTTTTTAATGACTATATGAAGGAATCAAGTTATGGGAAACTTGTATTTTTAGTCACATTTACTTGTTTTAGCCAGTTTAGGTGACACATGAACAAGGGTCTCACCCCCACCCTCTCTTCTCTATCTCTCCCCCCCCCCCCTCTCTTTCTCTTTCTTTCTATCTATCTATCTATCTATCTATCTATCTATCTCTCTCTCTCTCTCTCTCTCTCTCTCTCTCTCTCTCTCTCTCCAATCACTTAAGAATATAACCCTATCCCCTTGTTCTTCCTCGCAACAACTCAAACCCACCAATAACCTTCATATTTTGGAAGAAATCAATTTCTGGGCTACATCTTCTCTAGCCCAACACAAACCAAACATGCATCCTAATTGTCGTGTCTCCTCCCATTTGAAGTCACCACGAGACCATCGATTTGATCTTAATCGGTACTTCATAAAATGTTAGCTGACTCGGTCCTAGATTGTTATGTCATGATATTGCCCTTTTCCTTAATACCATCGCATCTGAAAATAATAGGGTTAGGAAGCATTGTTTCCATTGATGGAACACCCATCTAAAATCGTTGCCCCTTTATGTTCCTTCCTCCGTCGACACTAGTCCTTCTCGCCTCACTATCATCTTCTCTTGGTTATGCCTTCAACACATACCCTTCCACACATCACTTTCATCTCTTCCTCGTTCAATCATTCCTCTTGCTGCCCACGTTCACCACCACAGACATAAGCATCCGATCTCCGCCTCTCCTAAGCCAATGCCAACCATTCAAGTAATTTCTTTGTTTTTTTTTCTCCATGTAGGTAAAAATCGAAAAATCTTGTATTTAAGTTGGAAAAAATTAGATGAAATTTTTGATGAATTTCTTTGTTTGTGAAATCATAGTATGTATATATGTGTGAAATCATATTATATATGAATTTCATTATTTGTGAAATCAGAGTATGGTACTTCTCCATGTTGTCATCATTTTCTTGTCACTCAATTTACCAGTTTTTACCGATTGCAACAATGAGGCATTGTTCATGAATCACCTGGAACTCAGACTCCGAATGAAAATGATGATGAGTCTAGTGAGTTGGAGAAGTAGAAGTTGGTGTAGGCTAATGAGGTGGTTCTGCTTTAACTGATAAAGAAAATAAGTAGAAGGATGTTGGAATCGAATAAAAGGAAGCGGCATATCGAATCTGAAGTTCAATGTGGTCAAGAATCAAAAGATGTAGATCTAAAATTGTGATAGACTCGACATTATGTGTGTCCTATGTATGGAATTGGAACAAACTGTTGTTATGTAATCATGGATGAACGAATGATTTGAGCATTATTGGTCAATGTCTATGTAGCAAAGGAAAATTGGTCAAACAAATGTCTATGTGGCACAGGGGTACCAGTTGACCCTTTCATTTTGTCCAAAAGAACGTAATATGATTTTAAGGACTAAAAAAATATAATCTGATTTCACACATATATACATACTCTGATTTCATAAAGACAAAAAAATCTATCAACCGGATAAAAACGACTTTCCTCCCCCATAAAGCCAAAAAAATATTTTAAGGACTAAAATGATCAATTCTAAAAATTTTGTAGGGTATTTGTGTCATTTTTCAGTACATTATTTGTCCAGCAAATTAATTTAAAAGGTAAATTACACGAATGGTTCCTAACTTATTTTTTAACTCGAAATATCCCTAAAGTTTGTTTTTGTTGCACCTTTGGTCCCTATCTTATCTAAAAATACTATTTTGCTCTTGATTTTTTTAATTTATTTTAATAAGTTTGGATATGTAAGAAAAGGTGGGATGAAAGTGGGGTTGGCATGAGTTTATTTAAATAAATTAAAAATATCCATGGCGAAATAGTCTTTTAGGTAAGACAGTGACCAACTGCACAATAAAAACAAACAGTAAGGACCTTACGAGTTTAAAAAATAAGTTAGGGATCAGACGTGTAAATTACCCCAAAACATAGGGACCATCCGTGTAATTTACTCTACTCTGGTTCAAAATGAAATAACAAAAAGTAGAAAAGTTAAACAAGTTTAATACTATCCACAAAAATAAAATGAATAAACATCCAAACTAGGGGTATAAATGAAACGAGACGGCTCACGAGAAACTCGAGCTCAGCTCGGAAAATACTCGAAATCGACTTGACTTTAATCGAGTCGAGCTCGAGCTTGAGTTACTCGAGTACCTTATTGATCCGAGCTCGAGTAGTAAAATATCCGCTCAGTAAGCTCGCTAGCTTAATTGAGTATTTATATAATTAAATTTTTATCCTTTATATATTTTTGAATTATTAAAATATTTCAACACTTTTAGCTTTTATACACCAATTATGGAGTAAGGAATTAAATTACACTTCAAAACTTTTGAGAATGTTTCTTTTTCGTGTTTTGGGTGTATGAAAAATGCAATCACATGGATGGTTGTTATATTGACATTAGATGGTTTATTGTAAATTTTTTGTTATTTTGAAGAAAGTAAAAACATGTGAAATGTTTTTAATTTGAGATGATTTTAACTTCCTTTTTTTTAATTTTTGTCGAACCGAACCGAGCTCGCGAGCGGAGCTCGATAGTATCGAGTATTTCGCGAGTCGAGTCTGAGCTTCAAATGTATGATCGAGGCGAGTTCGAGTCGAGCTTTGAGCTCGAGTATTTAAGGCGAGTCAAGCTTCGAACTTAACAGTATTCAGCTCGAATCGATTCGTTTACACCCCTAGTCCAACCGAGCAATTAGAAGTTGATGTTTGCTTGAGGTTCACAATTAATATAGAGTGCTTTATAATAAAACATTTCCTCACACTATATCATATGTGCAATTCTTAAAGATAATATGAAATGGTGTATCCGTCCACCAATGCCTAAATAATTGTCTTTCAATGAATGTTTTATTACCATTTGTCTTTTAGTTAATATTTTATGTTATTTAAAGAGGATCAAATTATAGGTATTATAAATAATAAAGTGTTATGTTTGTATAATTATTAAATTTTTTAGCTACTTATTTGTTATACTTTTATTTGTTTGATTTTTTAAAAAATGTTAAATTAGAGAAGGACAAAAATATTGTTCCAGGGATAAAATGATGCTTGGATTTCTCACGTGCTACGTTTGCGACGGGGGAAAATGACAAATTCGCCGGCCATCAGTCATCATCACCGGCAACAATTTCACAAGGAAATCGCCGTGAAGTTCAGCGTCACGTGACCTAAAGGGCCCATCGTTTTCCAGCATTACATTCACAATATTCCCCTTTGACTACAATATCTCGTGGGCCCCACGTGACATGTCACGTGACCCCATGGACCCACAAACCATCCTATATAAACTCTCCATTTCTCTTCACCACAAAATCCCGTGTCAAACAATCAAACACAAAATCGAAATGGCGACTAATGTTCAAAGAACGTCTTCCGCTTCACCGGCGCCGGAGAAACATAAGGAGGCGATTCAGTTCATTGAGAAGATGACGAGAAACACAGACAAAGTTCAGGCGAACGTTTTGGCTGAGATACTCAGCCGGAATGCCGACACAGAATATCTGGGGCTTTACAATCTCAACGGAGCCACCGATCGTGAAACATTCAAGTCGAAGATTCCAATCGTCACTTACGACGACCTGCAACCTATCATTCAACGCATCGCCGATGGTGATCGCTCTCCCATTTTATCAGCTCATCCGATTTCTGAATTTCTCACCAGGTTAGTTCCCAATCCATGGTTTATCTGATTATATTGATTGCATTTAACGATTTTATCGCTTGATCATCTTCTCAAACAGTTCTGGTACTTCTGCCGGTGAAAGAAAGCTCATGCCGACGATTCACGAAGATTTGGATCGACGTCAACTGCTTTACAGCCTTCTCATGCCTGTAATGAACTTGTACGTATTTTCCCAAGCTATCTAGTACTGCATGCATTAACAGTTGTACATAAAATGCCCCACCACCGCCTACAATCCACGTGTCTCCGTCGCCACCACCGACTAACTAAAGATTTCATTCACAGGTACATGCCAGGTTTAGACAAGGGAAAAGCTTTATACTTTCTATTCGTCAAATCCGAAACAAAGACTCCGGGTGGGTTACTCGCCCGACCCGTTCTCACAAGCTACTACAAAAGTGACCATTTCAAAACCCGACCCTTCGACCCGTATAACGTCTACACCAGCCCAAACGAAGCAATTCTTTGCCCCGATTCCTTCCAAAGCATGTACGCTCAGATGCTTTGCGGTCTGTATGACCGCAAAGAAGTGCTCCGTATCGGAGCAATATTCGCCTCGAGTTTGCTCCGAGCCATTCGGTTCCTTCAACTGAACTGGAAGGAACTCTGTCATGATATCCGGACCGGAACTCTCAACGAGAGAGTATCTGATCCGGATATCAAACAGTGTATGTCTCAGATACTGAGACCCGATTCGGATCTAGCAGATGTTATTGAATCCAAATGCTCAAAGGAGAATTGGGAAAGAATTATCGTTCGAATTTGGCCTAATGTGAAATACCTAGAAGTAATTGTGACCGGTGCAATGGCTCAATACATTCCAACCCTAGATTATTATAGTGGCGGGTTACCGAAAGTTTGCACAATGTATGCATCTTCCGAATGTTACTTCGGGATTAACCTCAATCCACTGTGTAAACCATCGGAAGTTTCCTACACAATTATGCCAAACATGGCATACTTCGAGTTCATACCCCACAATCCACATTCAGGGTCAACCAACAATGTGGTTGACCTAGCGAATGTGGAAATAGGGAAGGAGTATGAACTCGTGGTCACCACCCATGCAGGTCTTTACAGATACTGCGTGGGTGACATACTGCGTGTCACCGGGTTTCACAACTCTGCACCGCAGTTCCATTTCGTGAGACGAAAAGACGTGTTGTTAAGCATCGAATCCGATAAGACTGACGAATCCGAACTACAATCCGCCATTGAAAACGCGTCCAAATTGTTGAAGAAGTTCAACACGAGTGTGGTTGAGTACACGAGCTATGCGGATACCGAAACAATCCCGGGTCATTATGTGATATTTTGGGAGTTGTTAGTGAAGGATCCAATGAATTACCCAAGGGAGGAGGTGATGGAGCAGTGTTGCTTGGCTATGGAGGAATCATTGAATGCTGTGTACAGACAGGGTCGGGTTGAGTGCAATTCAATCGGGCCGTTGGAGATCCGAGTGGTGAAAAACGGTACGTTTGAAGAGTTGATGGATTATGCTATAGCAAGAGGTGCATCTATTAACCAGTATAAAGTGCCAAGGTGTGTAAGCTTCACACCTGTAATGGAGTTGCTGAATACGAGGGTGGTGGCCTCGTATTTCAGTCCGAGTTTGCCGTTCTGGAGTCCTGAACGTCGCCGGTGAGGGTGTGGGTTGACATGAAATTGACTTATTTAGTCTGAGATGGATAATGTGATTGATATCGAGCATGCGTGAAATTTAATGAAATATAAATAAAATAAGATATGGTTTTATGAATTTATGTTGCATGGGATGATTTTCTTTGAAAGACACAAACATGCGTCTCTCTCTCTCTCTCTCTCTCTCTCTCTCTCTCTCTCTCTCTCTCTCTCTCTCTCTCTCTCTCTCTCTCTCTCTCTCTCTCTCTATATATATATATATATATATATATATATATATATATATATATATATATATATATATATATATATATATATATATAGAGAGAGAGAGAGGGGGTTTACCATATCACCAAAACAATTTATATAAAACCACCTTTTATATATATATATATATATATATATATATATATATATATATATATATATATATATATATATATATATATATATATATATATATATATAGTAGGTTAAAACCCGTGGAACCCACGGGTGCTGTTTTTGAATCGAATTTAAAAATTAATTATTTAATAAAATATTATAACAATAATTCTGATAACTTATAAATTGTAATATTGAATATTTAAATAATTTTTTTATTGGTAATTATTTAATTACTAACTAAATGGGAAGTATTTAATTAGGAATGAAGATTTTTGAAAACTATTTTTTTTTATTCATCATTCTAATTGGACATATGCAGATGATACAATACCAATGTGTGTAATGAAATTAACATAAAATACAACAATACGTAATTATAAAAAAAATACAGTAATATGATGGATTAAGTGTGATTTCCTAAAATTGAATAAAACGACGTTACAAAAAAGTTGGCTACAAATTTCGAAAAACTTCTTTATAAACAACATTGGAAGTTTTATTTCTGAGTTTGCCATCTTTATCTAAAATTAATAATTTTAATCCCTCTCTACTCTGAACTCTAGATAAGGCAACATACAATTGTCCATGTGAAAAAACTAGAAATTGGGTTAATTAGGTTATTGATTGAGGGACGATTCGTGAAGAAAAATGCGAAGTCAAGAAGGACTGTGAAATGTGATTTGTTCAATATTGGGTTAATTGGGTTATTGATTTGTCAACAAACATAAATTTTACAAGCAAATATAATTAAAAGTTTATAAAATAAAATGAAAAACCTTTTGAACAGATTCGTGAAGAAAAATGCGAAGTCAAGAAGGACTGTGAAATGTGATTTGTTCAATATTGGAGTCAAATGCAGTTCACGTGTAAAAGCAAAAATGTTCGCATTTGGTAATACAAATCAAAATTGGGTTTCGCATATGAGGTTGTATGGATTGGGGTTAAAGATGCGAAGGTGATTATGGTTAATATTCATTTCGTATTTTGTGAGACAAACAACTCAAATGCAAATGAACTAAAAAAAAATGACTGGAACATGCGAAGAAAGAGGGTGAATGAAGAATGTGAATTTTACAGTAGAATGCGAATTAGGGAAGAAAGCTAAGAATTTCGAATTTTTATTATACAAATTGATTGATTTATTTATCTGTCTTAATTGTTAACTGCGATATATCAAATATTTATCAAGTTAGGGGCAATATGGTCTTTACATATATAGCAATATTTTTATTATACAAATTGATTGATTGATTGATTTGTCTTAATTGTTAATTGCGATATATCAAGCAGATGAAGTAAGATCGATTGTTTTGAAATGCGATGTCAAATCTGTTGAAAGGTGTAATGATTATTGTTTTCGAATGGTATGTGTTCGATTGGTTATTGGGTTTGTATACAGGGATCGATTTTAAACGGAGGTTAAAGATTGTGGGAACGAATAACTGTTAAATTCGATGTTTTCTGGAACGAAGCCTTGGTTATTAAATGAATCATACGAAGGATCTGTTATTTGATTTTGGAATTGGGGCGAATAATCGAACGATTTGGAGTTGCGAATTTGATTTTGAAAAGCCAATCAGTTGGGTTCGCATATGAAAACATATAAGTTTTGATTTTGGATTCGCAATTGGGTTAATTGGGTTATTGATTGAGGGACGATTCGTGAAGAAAAATGCGAAGTCAAGAAGGACTGTGAAATGTGATTTGTTCAATATTTAGTTAATTATGTTATTGATTTGTCAACAAACATAAATTTTACAAGCAAATATAATTAAAAGTTTATAAAATAAAATGAAAAACCTTTTGAACAGATTCGTGAAGAAAAATGCGAAGTCAAGAAGGACTATGAAATGTGATTTGTTCAATATTGGAGTCAAATGCAGTTCACGTGTAAAAGCAAAAATGTTCGCATTTGGTAATACAAATCAAAATTGGGTTTCGCATATGAGGTTGTATGGATTGGGGTTAAAGATGCGAAGGTGATTATGGTTAATATTCATTTCGTATTTGGTGAGACAAACAACTCAAATGCGAATGAACTAAAAAAAAAAATGACTGGAACATGCGAAGAAAGAGGGTGAATGAAGAATGTGAATTTTACAGTAGAATGCGAATTGGGGAAGAAAGCTAAGAATTTCGAATTTTTATTATACAAATTGATTGATTTATTTATCTGTCTTAATTGTTAACTGCGATATATCAAATACTTATCAAGTTAGGGGCAATATGGTCTTTACATATATAGCAATATTTTTATTATACAAATTGATTGATTGACTGATTTGTCTTAATTGTTAATTGCGATATATCAAGCAGATGAAGTAAGATCGATTGTTTTGAAATGCGATGTCAAATCTATTGAAGGGTGTAATGATTATTGTTTTCGAATGGTATGTGTTCGATTGGTTATTGGGTTTGTATACAGGGATCGATTTTAAACGGAGGTTAAAGATTGTGGGAACGAATAACTGTTAAATTCGATGTTTTCTGGAACGAAGCCTTGGTTATTAAATGAATCATACGAAGGATCTGTTATTTGATTTTGGAATTGGGGAGAATAATCGAACGATTTGGAGTTGCGAATTTGATTTTGAAAAGCCAATCAGTTGGGTTCGCATATGAAAACAGATAAGTTTTGATTTTGGATTAGCAATTGGGTTAATTGGGTTATTGATTGAGGGACGATTCGTGAAGAAAAATGCGAAGTCAAGAAGGACTGTGAAATGTGATTTGTTCAATATTTGGTTAATTATGTTATTGATTTGTCAACAAACATAAATTTTACAAGCAAATATAATTAAAAGTTTATAAAATAAAATGAAAAACCTTTTGAACAGATTCGTGAAGAAAAATGCAAAGTCAAGAAGGACTGTGAAATGTGATTTGTTCAATATTGGAGTCAAATGCAGTTCACGTGTAAAAGCAAAAATGTTCACATTTGGTAATACAAATCAAAATTGGGTTTCGCATATGAGGTTGTATGGATTGGGGTTAAAGATGCGAAGGTGATTATGGTTAATATTCATTTCGTATTTGGTGAGACAAACAACTCAAATGCGAATGAACTAAAAAAAATGACTGGAACATACGAAGAAAGAAGGTGAATGAAGAATGTGAATTTTACAGTAGAATGCGAATTAGGGAAGAAAGCTAAGAATTTCGAATTTTTATTATACAAATTGATTGATTTATTTATCTGTCTTAATTGTTAACTGCGATATATCAAATACTTATCAAGTTAGGGGCAATATGGTCTTTACATATATAGCAATATTTTTATTATACAAATTGATTGATTGATTGATTTGTCTTAATTGTTAATTGCGATATATCAAGCAGATGAAGTAAGATCGATTGTTTTGAAATGCGATGTCAAATCTGTTGAAGGGTGTAATGATTATTGTTTTCGAATGGTATGTGTTCGATTGGTTATTGGGTTTGTATACTGGGATCGATTTTAAACGGAGGTTAAAGATTGTGGGAACGAATAACTGTTAAATTCGATGTTTTCTGGAACGAAGCCTTGGTTATTAAATGAATCATACGAAGGATCTGTTATTTGATTTTGGAATTGGGGCGACTAATCGAACGATTTGGAGTTGCGAATTTGATTTTGAAAAGCCAATCAGTTGGGTTCGCATATGAAAACAGATAAGTTTTGATTTTGGATTAGCAATTGGGTTAATTGGGTTATTGATTGAGGGACGATTCGTGAAGAAAAATGCGAAGTCAAGAAGGACTGTGAAATGTGATTTGTTCAATATTGGAGTCAAATGCAGTTCACGTGTAAAAGCAAAAATGTTCGCATTTGGTAATACAAATCAAAATTGGGTTTCGCATATGAGGTTGTATGGATTGGGGTTAAAGATGCGAAGGTGATTATGGTTAATATTAATTTCGCATTTGGTGAGACAAACAACTCAAATGCAAATGAACTAAAAAAAAAATGACTGGAACATGCGAAGAAAGAGGGTGAATGAAGAATGCGAATTTTACAGTAGAATGCGAATTGGAGAAGAAAGCTAAGAATTTCGCATTTTTATTATACAAATTGATTGATTGATTGATTTGTCTTAATTGTTAATTGCGATATATGAAATACTTATCAAGTTAGGGGCAATATATTTTATTTGAGTTATAACCAAAATCAACTAACTTGTCCAATTTAAAAAAATAAAAGTATCCAAAAATATTCAAAACCAATAATATTTGACATCCTAAATACCCCAAAATAAAAATCATACCAAGCAATTAAAATATCTTTATAACCAAAACAAATGATCAAAATATATTAAATGTGTCTTATAACCGATAGAAACTCACTTTTCAATTTTTGGAATCAAGAGTGGAGTTTCCTCTGCGGTTGACTTTCTTTTAGCCTTAGTTGAACTTAAATCATATCCAGAATCAACATCATAAATTTCTTGGAGGTTGCACTTCAAATCACCTGATATTTTGCAAGGACTTGTTGCGGTTGACTTATCAACTGTTGAGGGTGTAAAACTTTCGTCTGTTTGTGAGATCACATCCTAATTTTTTTTTTTTTTAAAAAAAAAAAGTTTGATTCCTAAAAAAAATAACTAATATAATTAAAAGTTTATAAAATAAAATGAAAAACCTTTTGAACAGGCTGTACAACATCATCGGATTCCAAAGCAACTTGATTTAAGGAGACAGATTGAATACTCTAAAAAATAAAATGGAAATATGTTAATCGTTATGTACTTTAACATTAAAGAATTGTAAATTTTCAACAATAAAAAATTACATACCATAAGTTCTATTTTACTTTTCAATTCACAAACAATGGACATATCTTCTGTAACTCTGAGAACTATGTAGATGTTATTATAGTTGTTGACATTGTATTCTGTAATATCTACAACAAAACCAAACTTGCGGTTTTTCAACACGTTAAGTTACATTGGAAATAGGGCATCACTGTCTCCGGCCTGTAAGATATATTTTAATAAATTAAAAAAATTAAGTAAATGTTTTCTGATTTTAAAAGTATGAATAATATACCGCATCATGTATCTTTTTCAACTCGTAGGCACTTATATTTAACAACCTCCTTGCTTCCCTATCAAAAAGAGTCAATCCAATGGTTCCAGTACAATCTTGTACGTTAATTGGAATTATATACCTAAAACAAAAAATAATTATGTCATTGTTAGTGTTGTTTTAAGATTGACAAAATTAATAGAAATAAATATGTCTATACTTTATAACTGACTGAAATTCAGATTTTTTGCATTGTGCATTTGTACACTCGACAACCATAGTTTCTGAAATTCCCTCAGGGTTGGTATACGAATGATTGGTTTTGGGAACAGGGATAATTTTTTTTCCACATTTTTTGCATGCTTCATAATACCATGGTAGATTCTGCCTTATATTAACAATGGAAGCAACTAATAAAAACTTCATTTCCTGTATCATATCAAATGTAAAAATTATTAAAATAAATTATGCAAAAATAAAATGTCATATAAAATAATGCAATATACCTTAATTGGTTCAGTGATCTCACAGATTGTTTTTAATGGAAAATTGCCCTTAAAGTCATCTTATATGAGAAGAGTAGCTTTGAAGTGTAGTTATGCTTTTTTCAGTTATACCGAAATTGTCATGACATTTCAACCTGTAATGTTTAATTTAGATTCATGAATATTAGGTTTTGTGTTTTTTTTAAGTTAAAATACATTATAAAAAAATAAAAAACAATTGGAAACTAACTTATTTTTAAACTCATTTATTTCATAAATGTCAGAATTTATGAACAATTTCGTTACTTCAAAATGACTTTTAGCTTCACCAAGACCTGTAAAAAATGTATATCCAATTATTAAAATTTATATAAAAACAGTAATTATAAACATCTATATATAAAGACTGAATACAAACCATTCCAAATGTTTAGCTTCAAAAACTGCATCACGATAACAACAAAATTAACAGTCGGGTTATTTTTTAGGTATTCTGAAATTTGATATGCTTGACTTCCAAAAATAGTAACCTTCAGATGTACAGAACTAAATAAACCATAAAATAGTATATTAATATTAATTTGTGATTAATTAAAGATAATAAATAATACAATATAATCTCACTCTAGGTTGCTAAGAGTGACTTTTATATAATGTTTGGATGGTACTGGATTTGAAGTTTCAAGAGGCCTAAATGACACGATATGTCCAATAACATCTACACAACAGATACCACAAAAAAATAAAAGTTTAGGATTAAATTCGTAATATTTAAATAATAAAATGTATAACCAAAAAAACAAATGATAAAAAATGATTTTATTAATATTTTATGACTAACCAAAGAATGTGTCTTTTGGGCATGTTTGTTCTATGATAGAATTAAAGTCAACAAACATAAATCCATTGACCGGACCCGAGAAATCATCACATTTTTTTAGGATGCTTTTCCAATCCAAAGTTAAGGTCTGTTTATGACCTGTATAACTAAAACCATTAGTAACAGCAGCCATATTGGGTTTTATAACTATATAACTTTCATCTTCCTTTAAAAGATGACGAAATCTGGAGAAATTCTGATTGAAGACACGAGCTTGGTATTGTGTACCCTGTTTAAAAAAAAATTAAAAATTATTATGTTCATGAAACATGTCTAATATTGAATGATGAATAAAAAATATATCAAATACAACAAACCTCCTCATCCATGATGATCATTTCAATGGAACAAACTTTATTATTTCTGACAAAGTTCCAAATTTTAAGCACCCGAACCTTGATATGCGATTTTTCATCTATCTGGTCAATGTTATTTAGGTAAACCTTATTTCCTATTTCCATTTTCTGCAATAAATTTAATCATTATAGAATTGTAAGGAAAATTAGCAACCTTTTAAAATGTACAGAACATCCTAACCAATAAGTAAAACAGAAAAATTATAAATCAACACATGACAATAACAACTGACTTAATGTACTCATAAATTTTTAAATTGAATAATTCATTTTATAATAAAATGGAATACAAACAAAAACAAATAATTCATATGAAATAATGTTTTAGATTGAATAAAAGTTTATATAATAAGATGGAACACAAATATATAATAAACATGAAAACGACAATTATACCGAAAATGCCCCTGCAACATACTAACACTAACAGATAACATAACAATGAGTAAAACAGAAAAATTAAAAATCAACACATGACAATAACAACTGACTTAATGTACTCATAAATTTTAAAATTCTAAATTTTTTTGAGATTGTATTTAGATAAAAACAAACAAATTTTAAAATTTCATACCATAAAAAAAAGTTACTGTGCACATCTGAAAAAGACTATTTTTAATTTTTTTTAAAGAAAATGAACTTGTAATGTTCATTAGTTTTTCGTCTTTTAAACTGAAAAGGTAGAAGAAGTAGACGATTAAGAAGAATTACAAAAAAGAAGAAGAATAGAAATCATACAATGAGAACGTGATAGATACAGATAAATAAGAACATGGAGGAAATAGAAATATTGGTAATTCTGATTTTTGAATACACTAACCTGATATTTAATTCTTGAAGCGTTGCAGAATAACAAAGAATGAAGAAGAATACGTTTGCTGTGGTTTCTATGGAGCAGAATTGTTATGGAGCAGAATGGTAAAAACAAAATAACCGTATAAATGATATTTACGTTTGCTGAAAAATACTGCAGATTTTTAGGGATTTAATGATTGCAATATATTGAATTTGCAATCAAAATAAACAAACTTTCAAATTTAATCGTGATTTTCGAATCTGATTATTCATTAACATATTTTTTCAAATTATTTCCATAATCTTTATTCATTTAAAATTAATGCATGAATATTTTGAATGCAGTTGACAGCTAAAATTTCCTGATATATTGCATCAGTTTGAACTTTTATTCAATTTTCGGATTCAATGGCATTTACGTAAATATAGAAGAAAAAATGAGCGGGAAAACTCTATTTTAGGGGGCTGGGAGAATGCCACGTGGCCGAGTTCTACTTATTTATTAGAATTAGGATATATATATATATATATATATATATATATATATATATATATATATATATATATAGAGAGAGAGAGAGAGAGAGAGAGAAAGAAAGAGAGAGAGAGAGAGATAAAGTTTAGATGTCAACAAAATAAGTTATATAAAAACCACCTTATTCACTTATGGATCAAGTTTGATTCATTAATATGACTGCAAAATTTTAAATGGTATTTATTGAAAAAAGTTATAAGAAAAAAACATGAAATTTGTGAATTTATTATAATTAATTAACTAGTATCCAAAAATATTAAAATTTTACTCCATTAATACAAATCAATTTATAAATAATAGGGGATTTTAAAAATACACGTCAAAATATAATTTTGTATGGTTGTTAGATGAATGATAGTCACTATAAAAAGGGAATATGACTTATCAAGGTAATTAACTTTTCGGTATATTCACATCTGGGTAACTATCTTTTTTTTGTACATATGTAGGTAACAAACTTTTTGGGAGTGTTCACATATAACCATTATGACCTGCTATAGTAGGTTAAATCCTAAATGTGAACGTTTTCAACAAGTTTGTTACCTAAATGTGTACAAAAAAATAGTTACCCAAATATGAACAAAACGAAAAGTAAAAATTAAATTACATGAATGGTCCCTGTAGTTTGGGGGAATTTGTGGTTTTGATCTCTAAGTTATTTTTTTAAACTTAAATGGTTCATATTGTTTATTTTTGTTTCGCGTTTGGTCCCCATATTACCTAAAAATACTATTGTGTCCTTATTAATTTATTTTTTTAATTAATTTTTTTATCTATGTTTATTTTTTACATATTTATAAAAATTAATATACCACACATATTTGTATCTCATCGGATGATCCCTACTATCTATTTTTTAATTAATTTAATTTTTTAACTCGGATGGTCCTTACTATTTAATTTTGTTACGAACTTGGTTCCTGTCTTACCTAAAAAGACTATTGTGCCCTTATTAATTTTTTTAATTAATTTTCTTGTTTGTGTACTTATGCTTTATATGTTTAAGAAAAATTAGTAGACCTCACATATCTGTATCTCCTCACCATCCCATCTTTCATCATTCTCAACTTCTATTTATTTTTCATCTTTAGTGATATCGACGTCTTCATCATCACTTCTTTTTTCGGTCCTTCAACTCCGTCGAAACAACACTACAACCCACTAAATATGAAGAGACAGTAGGTTATGGTGTTGGTTCTCCAGAGTTGAAGTACCAAAAAAAAAGGACGGTGAAGACGTTGATGTTACTAAGATGGAAAAAATAGAAGATGGGGAGGATCAGAGATGAGATGGTGAATGGTAAGACTCAAATTAAATTTCTCAAATGTGGTTTTAGATTTACGGTGATAAGATACATATATTTGGGGTATATTAATTTTTTTATAAAAAATAAATACATAAATAAGAAAATTAATTTAAAAATTAATAAGGGAAAAATATTATTTTTAGATAAGACAAAGACCAAACGCGTAACAAAAATAAACAGTAACGATCATCCAAGTTAAAAAAAAAAATAATTCAAAATAAACAGTAGAGATCATCCGATGAGATACAAATATGTGTGGTCTATTAATTTTTTTAAATATGTATAAAATAAACACATAGATAAGAAATTAATTAAAAAAATAATTATAATAAGGGCACAATAGTATTTTTAGGTAAGAGGGGGGAACCAAACGCAACAAAGCAACAAAAATAAATATTAGGGACCATTTAAGTTAAAAAAATAAATTAGGGACAAAAACCACAAATTCCCCCAAACCATAGGGACCATTCATGTAATTTAATTTTTAATTTTCATTTTGTTCATATTTGGGTAACTATTTTTTTTTTTGTACACATCTACGTAACAAACTTGTTGAAAGAGTTCACATCTAGGATTTAACCTGCTATAGCAGGTCATAATGGTCATATGTGAACACTTCCAAAAAGTTTGTTACCTATATATGTACAAAAAAAAGATAGTTACCCAGATGTGAACATACCGAAAAGTTAATTACCTTGATAAGTCATATTCTCCTATAAAAATTGCATGTGTGTCTTGAAAGACGTTATAGTCACATTTAATGGACAAAATCCTTGATTACCATAAGAAATTAGGAAAAATGATTAACAAACCTAAAGAAGTTTCCAAAACATTTAATGTTTATTCGTAATTGAGTTATTAATTAGAGACAACATCTTGAAAAAAAATATATATTTAAATATTGAATTCAATATTCTAAAACGATTTATTTTTATCAACCATTATTCATAAATATAAAATTTAATGTAATAAAAAAAAACTATTACGATTTATTCAAATATTTTATTAAAAAGAATCTAACACAGTATACCATATCATGGGTTTTTTATATACATAACTACTTTTATAATTTATAATATAGAAATATATATATATATATATATATATATATATATATATATATATATATATATATATATATATATATATATAAAGAGAAGAAAATGATATAATTATATATACAAAAATTATTTTAAAAAAAAACATATCTTTATAAAATGGTTATAAATGACAATTAGTGTTAATTTTTTACAAGATGATACAATTATAATATAATTTATAAGTAATTTAAATGAAAATTAAAAGCTATATATATATATATATATATATATATATATATATATATATATATATATATATATATATATATATATATATATATATATATATATATAATACTAACATTTTAATTTGAACAATTAATAAAATTAACTTTTTAAAAGCGTTCTTTTGAAATTAGTATCAAACTACGGTCCAAAAATAATCAAAATATGTTGAACGTTTAAATGAATAGAGAATTGACGGGTTTTTTTTTTTTACTCTTTCAATATCTTCATATTTTCCAATTATTATAATCATTGTCATAATAATTAGTAATAGATTTTTGTGAAATAAAATAATAGTTATTAGATACACAATTATAATTTTATTTAATTTAGAGAATTGATTTAAAAAATAAACTAAAATTATAAATATTGTATTTAATTATATTAAACTAAAGGAAAAACTATTTATTGTCCGCTGCCAGACAAAGGGTAACATAGACAAATTACTATTTGCCGCCCATCCAAAGACAATTGATTGCCGAAAGGAATAAATCGTCAAAATGAAACAAATCGAAAGGAAAAAATTTGGTGACTACCGAAATGACACTAACTTTCGTTTGAAAATTAATCATCGGAATGAAACAAATCATCGTCACCGCATCGCACGGGTATGTTACTAGTGTCTCTCTCTCTCTCTCTCTCTCTCTCTCTCTCTCTATATATATATATATATATATATATATATATATATATATATATATATATATATATATATATATATATATATATATATAGAGAGAGAGAGAGAGAGAGAGAGAAAAGGTTTAGCATGTCACTAAAATAACTTATATAAAAACCACCTTATTCACTTATGGATCAAGTTTGATTCATTAATATGATTGTAAAATTTTAAATGGTATTTATTTAAAAAAGTTATAAGAAAATAACATGAAATTTGGGAATTCATTATAATTAATTAACTAGTATCCAAAAATATCAAAATTCTACTCGATTAATACAAATGAATTTTTAAAATAATAGGGGATTTTTAAAATAAACGTCAAAATATAATTTCGTATGATTGTTAGATGAATGATAGTCACTATAAAAATGCATGTGTGTTTTGAAAGACTTTAAATCCTTGATTACCGTAAGAAATTAGGAAAAATGATTAATAAGTCCAACGAAGTTTCTGAAACGTTCAAAAAATCTTAATCATATTTTGTATGTTCAAAAAAATCTAACTTAACCTTTTGTCTAAAAAAGTCCAACAAAATTTTCAAACCATTCAAAAAAAACTCAATCATGTTTTGTCTGTTCAAAAGATTAAGTTCGTTGGGTTTTTTTGAATAAACAAAACATGATTGTGGTTTTTTGAACGGTTTGAAATTTTCATTTGTCTGACAAGTCATTTTCCATATATGCTAATAAACCATGTCATCTGTTTCTCTTCTTTGACTTCCATAGAATTGAACAAAAGTGTAACTTAGTTGGGCTTTTTTAGACAAAATGTTAAGTTAGTTGGGTTTTTTTGAACAAACAAAACATGATTGAAATTTTATGAATGTTTTAGAAACTTCGTTGAACTTGTAAGTCATTTTCCCTAAGAAATTATGGTACCCTTTAGCCACAATTTTATGATACAACCACACTTTTCCAATTGTCACAGCCACTAAATCTGAATGTGGTCGTATGATACCTAAGAGGATATGACCTTGGTCACATGTGGCTAGTTAAGGATAGGTCAGACGTTTTTGATGTGATCAATGTCGATTTTTATACTAATATACGTATATTATTAATTATAAACATTTATACTAAATACATAAATTGGTTATATTTTCATACACCTTAATAGATGAACATTGACAAACATTTGTAACAGATTAATGTTCATAAATGAACATTGACAAATATTCATTAAGAGAATGATGTTCATAGATAAACATTGACTTGACGACCATTAATAAAATTTTAACGTTCATAGATAAATATTGTCGAACACTTATAGGAGATTAATATTCAGCTATTAACATTTACACAAAATATATAAATTTGTCATA